CTACCACCAATTACAGTGTCATTTAAAAAACCCTAACAAACTTTAGAATAATTCCTACTTGTATTAAACATACTGGTGATATCAAATAATATAATGTCATATTGAAATACTGAATAATAATTCAGGGAAACATTAATGATGTAATTTCCTTTTAGTGCTCCACTTTAATGCTGTTATATATGAAAGTTATAATCTAACTAGTACCAGCTTTCTCTTATTTATACATTGATGCATCTTTTTCAGGTGTTGATTGGCTCAGTAACTATCTGCTTCTACTTTATTCTAAGACTTTACTGCTTTTCACTGATTCTATGCATATTCACTATATTTTGCCAGTTAGGGAGAGTGGAGGATGAAGTGAAAGAAAAGTTTTTTTCAACATGCACAGATTTAGCTAAATCACACTTCTACAAGAATATTCAGGTGAAAATTTTTCCTTCAAGAGATCACATAAAGTTCTAAATATACAAAGGTATGTATAGCTGATATTTACTTTCATTTCTAAAAACTGAATGTGTTGAACTGGAGAAAAGCCCTAAAGAACCACCAATATGAAGTAGCATCATTAGAGAGGGCTGATATAGTTCTATAACAAAATACAATTTGTTAGATTTTTCCTTTACTTTATCAAGTAAAGCGTTGCGCAGGGGAAGCTGACGAGGGTGAGGAGGAATGGAAGAAAAATACCCAAGAGCCCTGGGAAAGGAAAATGGAGAAGGTACACCCCCCAGCCTCAAATCGTCCGATCTGAGGCAGCGTTGATCCCAGCACTTCTGGAGAACAGTTGGGATGTGAGGAGAGTTCCAAAGGGAATCCACTAACCTGGCGGAAAGGTGGAGGAGGAAAGGAAAATTCAACAATGGGATATCTAATCTGCTGAATAAAGATTCAGAGTCTCTTGAAATCTGAGAGCCAAACCTGACACGTCTTCAAGAGCTGGAGACCAAGTCAAGACTGGGTTCTCCTAGCAACAGGGGCGTGTCAAATTTGGCTAACTTGGTCTCAAGAGCAGGCAGACAGAGAAAACCCATTGGTGGATTCTCCATCTCCTGTGCTGGAGAATCTTAATTACATCTCAAAATTACTTTTGGTTTTAAATACGGTTTGTTCTTACTAGTTAAATATTAATTTATTTCTCTCGTAACTGAACTCACACTATTAAACAACAGAGGAAAATAAATCTCAGATTAAAGAATACACAGACACACACACACAGACATACACCCACAAAGAAATATTTCAATATCTTAATAGATCATTAAGAAGCTGGAGAGTTGAATTATAAATAATCTTCAACATACAATCATTTACTTTTGAGTCCAATAGCACTGAAAAAAGTGACTCGCAACTAGTCCTTGCACTTACAAATGTTGCAGCATCCCTACTGTCATGTGATCAAAATTTAAATGCTTGGCAATTGTCATGTATTTCAATGCTTGTAGTGTCCTAGGGTCATGTGATTGTCATCTGCAAGCTTCTGAGCCAGTTTTTGACAAGCAAAGCCAATTTGGGAAGCTAGAGTCACTTCACAACAGAATGATTCATTTAACAACTGTAATAATTTGCTTGATAACCATGGCAAAAGGGATCATAAAACTGAGTGTGATTCATTTAACATCTTGCTTGGCAAAGAAAATTCTGGTTTCAGTTGTGGTTATAAGTTGAGGACTATGTGTATTTTTGAATACATTTCCATTAAATCTAAAAATACATTATTTGTTACAATGTAGGTCATTAAGATAACCAGTTTGGTGTAATGGTTAAAGTGGTGAGCCAGAAACCACAGATGGTATGCTCTTGGCCTCCTTTAGGCATGAAAATTGCATGATTCAGTCACTTTCTTTCAGCCCAATCAACTTCACAGGGTTGTTGTTGGGAAAATATGAGGCAGGAGTGCTAGATTTGTTCGCAACATTCAGCTATACATAAAAATGGGAGTATAAATATCAAATTATAATAATTTGTGTAAGGACATCATTATGCAAATAGCACAAATTATAGCATTCATGAAGATTTATGGTAGTTCTTTAACATAACATAAATTTCAGTTTCTGTTCTGGACAACTTCAGTTGCAGTCAGTATATTGAAGGAACAACTTCAACTTCAGGTATTATGTTAGGGCATAGTCACACAGAGGTTTTGACTATTACATCTGAAGTCCATAAAATAGCAGTTTGTAAAATTTTCTCCATTCATAGATTGAACCACCTAGTTTTTTGAAAAACACCTGATAGGGCAGAATACATCTGAAAGATACTTTTCAGTGTTTTTTGAAAGCAAAAATAGGTTTCTATGTTTCAGAACACTATAGTAATTAGGAACAAGAAACTACATGAAACCTGTCTAATCTTATTACTACATTTTTGGAAGCACAATAGGAAATATACGTTGATACTTGACCTATTAGTTCTAAGCATTTCCTTCAAGATGGAAGAAAAGGAAAAAAAGAGGATGACCAGGAGCAAGGTGGCTGAACTCAATTAGTGGCAGATCGACGCAATATTGGAAGATCTGAAGGCCTAGGTTGAGGACAGGTCATTCTGCAGAAAATTTAGCTATATGGTTGTTAAGAGTCAATACCAACTTCATGGAACATCACCACCACCACCATCATGGCCCTGTTCTTGCAGTGCCTCGAAAACCTTTCTCCAAATTGTGCAATTTGTAGAAGTAAGCTTTTGAAAGATTGCAAAAATGGCTCCCGTTTGCAGAATGGTGTGAGGTGGCCTCAGTAGGAAGGCTGTGCCTCTCAGTGGCTGGGCACACCTGATAGCAGCTGCAGAAAACTGCAAAGGTTAAGTGGGACACTTTAACTGGCTGAGGCCTTTTCATAGGCGGGAGAGCAATTGAGGCCTCCTGGGCCAAGACAATTTTATGTGTGGTGATGGGCTGAGTAGGTGAATAAGAGATAGATGGGTAGGGATAGTTGTAACACACTTTTGATTGTAAATGCAGGTAGACTGCTAAACTCCTGAATTTTCATCATGTGACTGTGGGAGTGCAACAATTTTGAGCACAGATTATAAATTCTTTCATTGAGCATCATCTTAATTTTGAGCAATTGTTGAACTAATATTGTTAAGCAAGGATTACATGTATTCTGAACCAACTGAAATTTAGAGTGCCTTAAAAACAGCCTTGTTGAGGAGATAGGACACGGAAAAAAAAATCCCCAAGAGAGTATGATTCCACCACCACCCATCCCCCCAGAAAGGGCATAACACAACTGGTAAACAGATTCCTGGACACTATCACTAGCAAAAAATTTTAAAACCTAGAAGTATTCCTCTGCACAAAGAAAATGTGAATCCTTAAACAACATGATCTATACTTCTAGATCATCAAAGCAATTCTCAACTGTCTAAATAATCTTTACTTTTATTGTTTCCACGCCAAAAAACCCAAACAAACCAAACCCACAAGGAACTAAACTTTCTTTCATGTTAATTCAATATCCTTACTTTGAGGATTAGGAAATGGAAGCTGAGTATCATCTCAATCAGGATGAATCCCCACATATTTATTAGGTCCATGTAATGCTAACATGGGAAATAGGAAAATACTGTGAGAGCCCTGTATTATACTTGTGAAATGTAGAAGCAATCTTCCAACAAAATTTAACCCAGAACAATACAAAAAGCAACAATTATCAAACAAACCTTTCAACATGTATGCAATATAATGTTGCAATATAAAGCAGTATAAGAATATTCAGGGAGGGGGAAGAGGAAATGGACTAAGAATGAAAGAAACTGTCTCAATGAAGCTCCACGTAAAGCAAATTATTTTGTAATGAGTTATAATCTCACAGAGGACTGTTTCCTTTGATCTATACCAGGGGTCCCCAAACCCCAGTCCTTGGCCTGGACCCAGTCTGCAGCCTTTTGGGAATGGGGCTGGGCAGGTGGCAAGTAGAAGCACGAGTGCATGAAGCTCCATTTGCGCAAACAGTGGGAGCGCGCAGGAAACCATCTTCTCTCCCACCCCTGCCAGTCCATAGAGCCAGAAAGGTTGGGGACAGTTCATCTGTACTATGTACAAGCTTGACTCGTTTTACATGTTAATTAAGTAAACAAAGAATCAAGCGTGCTTTAAAAGTGCTTTTGTGTATATATATTCTGAACTTAAATACTGCTACTTTCCCTTAGACCAGGATAGGCAAACTTGGCTCTTTTATGATTCGTGGACTTCAACTCCCAGAATTCCTGAGTCAGTGCTGACTCCGGAATTCTGGGAGTTGAAGTCCACGAATCATAAAAGAGCCAAGGTTGCCTACCCCTGCCTTAGACACTAACATTGCTGAAAGATCAGGCAAGCACAAACTCATCTTAAAAATTAAACTTACAGTTCACTGAAAATAAAATACAAAATCATAAAGAGCAAGGTCATTAGATATTTTAAAACAATGGAATTTGTAATTTAAGCAATGGAGTGCATATTCACATCAATTCTGAGTACATCATCTGTCAAAATGAATATTTTAAGCTTCTTTAACTGAGAGATTTAAAGATGCACTGAATTATATATTTTAAATAAGTGGGATTTGAAGATGCTTAAATGTAAGTGATTTGTGTCCTCTATATTTACATATCAATACATTAATCTACAACAAATATCTGATCGTGTTCTTTATCAATTTGATTCTTTTTTTCTGCCAACACATCACTTATAATTAGCAATTGTGTTCATCATTGATATGCATGGGTATGAATTTATTTAAATGCATTAATAGGAATGCCCACACAAAATACTGTTGTAAAGCACCGATCTGACTTTAAAACAGATGCATAACAGGTACACTTGCTATGAATTCTATAAAATGAAATATTTTAATAGTTTCCCTTATAATTTAAGAGAATCACTTTGCTGAACTAATAGCTAAAAAATGGGATATTTCACTCTTATTTCACTATTAATTTTCATATTTTGTGACAAACCAATGTTAACAAAATTACCATAAGCATAATGAAAAGAGAAAATAAAACAAAAAAGGCTCTACCTGTATCTGAATTTCGATCTTCATTTCTGGATGGACTAACATTAAACTGAAGTTTACGTTTCATGGAAGATTTTTCTTTCATGTCCTTTCCCACATCACTCCTATCCACTTTTGCAGTTTTGCTGTAGGAGGCAATCTTGTCCTTGCTCTAATATAAACAAAAATATACTATGTTATAAGTACAATGTTTGCATAAGACCAATAATAAACAAAATAAGTGCATTCATTGAAAAGGCTTCAACTCAATTAGCTAACAACAGTTTCCCCTATAAACTATTCCTTAATTTATAACATTCTAGTAAGTATATTAAACTTTATTGTGAAAACTTTGTAAACATAGTTGAAACAAAATGCTAAAGAGCCAGATATCTCCTATTTTTTATAGATAAAAATAAAATTGTTATTGTGCAAACTGAGCTAGAATAAATAGAATTATGGAATAAAGAAGCTATTCCAAATCTCCCTATCTCAAGAAAAATTCTAGAACAAATTATCAGTTTGATCAACTTGTATCAAAATATTTTATTGAAGTCAAAAGAAAAATCAGTAAGGATATAATAAACTGATTCCTAAAACTACAACTGAATCCTTCAGGTATGTCAGTTTGTATGTTCTAATACACTACACATAATACACTACAGAGGGCATCTGAGTAACTGATTGAGCATATAATCAAGGGGTGGGTTTTTTTTTTTTTTTTTTTTTTACAAAACATACATACATATTCTGTTTATATATGCACCCAAAGGGAAAAACAATGGATTGCATTTTATCTTTCTCTTCAGCATTCTGTTTTAGAGTAGCAAAAAGTTAAGCGGACAAGCTTTTTGCATGAAAACTTTTGATAATTGTTTAATTGTGGCAGAGTACAAATTAAATGAATTAATAAAATAATTATCATAACCTACTTTAGCAAAAGTCAAAATGCATTTGGTTTTTCTTTACCTATCACCCTTATATTTAGGGCTTGTAGTAATTGGCCTAGAAACTACACCTTGCACAGTAAATAATAATTTTAAGCAAAACTTCAAATTCAACAAGTGGGATGCCACTTAAAACTGATAATATAGAAATCTCTATTATTAATTTTGGTGGCCTCTTATAGGAAAGCCAGGACAGAGATTGTTATACTTAATAGAACTGGAATTACTACAACTTAATATCACCAATTAAATTCTCAGGCATTTTCTGGTTTTTATGTGCACATCCAGCATCTCCAGAATTACTCTGATTTTGGCAATTGTTCTATGAAATGAAACATTTTTCATTAACTTTGATGCATGGATGGTGGGAGGGCCTAGCATTCATTTGGCAGTCTCCCTATACTAAAGTAGTTAATATATTCAAAAATTCATCAGGATGAATACAGAAAAACATATTAGAAATAAATCAAAGAAGACATGCTATAACAGACAGAAAGAGCTATTGTTATAAAACAGACAATATTAATGCACGAGAGCAAACTGTTTTGAAAGATTAATATGAAACAGAGAAAATCAAACTTCTTAATCTAATATTTCTTCACTTAGAACCTTAAAAACAGATCTTACTTTTTTCCAGCCATTCTATATAAATATACTGCTGTTAACCTGTACATTCCAACATTTAGAATTTATAATTTTCATTCATTCATTCATTCATTCATTCATTCATTCATTTCTCACATTTATATAGCTGCCCATCTCAGGACAAAGTAATTCTGGGTACCTTATAATAAAAACAATAATAAAATCCAAATGTTAAAAAGAATCACAATTAAAAAACATCAACAATATGAATATTAACAAGATAGTGGAGAGAACTGAATGCAGACATCTCAAATTCAGCAATTCAAATAAATCCCTAAGACATGACTGCTAATATATTACTGATACTTAATAAATGCAGATGTTATCCTCTATTTACACTGAAGCGTACTATCGGGATCTGCAAAACTTGCTTATTTGAGAATCAAACGTTAGAGAGGATTCTGAAATAATTTATTTCCCACCAGATTATGCTGACTTCCATCTGGAACATAACATCCCAGGACTGCTTCAAAGTTTTTCTAAAGTAAATCATCTGAACTGGAAGCAATTCAAAGAGTTCTGGGAAGAGCCCAGGTCCAAGCAGATGTATTTTATGTGGAATGTTATATGTAGGACATCATAAACTGCTTCCAGTTCAGAGAAACTACTTGCAGAAAGTGCCAAATTTGCCCTTGAAATGGCATTGTCCAGAAGAATATTTCTAAATACTGTAATTTCATGGAAGCAGAAGGAACTGCATAAGAATGGAAATATTAGAATATAAAGGATGCAAATTAAGTTTTCTTGACTGAGAAAACGCATAGGGTGCTAACTCAAATAAATGTCAATTTCAGTTTTAGCCAGAAGTTAAGTTATTTAATTTTAAGAGAATTGTTACTGATGCAAGTGACCTACTTCTATGGACATATTTAAAATTTTTAATATGTCCCATTCATTTATAAACGATGTAACCGAATCAATATTTCAATTTTGGCAGAATGATACCCTGTTTAAACTTGTAACATACAGTACATTTAAGTAACTAATTTATAAGTCTGGTTTAATTGTTAGATCTAATGGAAGATTTGGCTGATTAACTGGTTACACCTAACTATAATTAGATAAACTTTTCATGTTTCAGCTCTATCTTTTGCTTAACTATGTAATGCTGCATGTATATCTTATAAATAAACAATTTAGTAAGAACAATGTTCTAAAAGTGCATTTATTTATTTTTGCTTTAATCTGGATTTAATCTATTTCTATAATTGACAATGAAAATGGAAGGGTTCCTTGAAAGCAAAAAATGCTACTATCTGTATACCTTTTTCTAAGAGAAAATGCAGTTTGCATACCTAATTCACATTATTAACAGGCAGCCTCATTTAACAACTACTTGTTATATTCTGCATGGCAACAGCTACCCCGATCCTGTTATATTGTGTGAGCCACTCACCACATCCTCACCTGCCCAGCACCAGTCACTTGGTTCTGTTATATTTGTGCTGCACCTTGCAGGCCACTTACCCATCCTCCACACTTAACAACAGGACCCCTATCCCTGTTGTAATTGTGCTACACCTGATAGGGCACTTAAACACCCTCCATCACTTGGTAACAGCCACCTCCAGTTCCATCATGCTCACACTGCACCTTAACTGTTGGCTGGTCTGCTTGCAGACAGCCTGGGACTTGCTTAATAACTCACAATCCTTGCTTAACAACGGCAGTGTTAAGGATTGCTGTCGCTAAGCAATATTATGTTGTGCTTTATGATCGCATTACTTAATGATGGAAATTCTGATCCCAATTACCACTGTTTACCAAAGATTATTTGTATTCAGAAATAAGTCTTTATTGCAATCTTATCAATTAAAAATGTCCTCACTGATTCTGACTGAAACTCCATAATATTTGTTACAGAATAAGCACAAACGGACTGTTTAGAACTTTCTTTCACTATATATTTATAGGAAACTGCTATTAGTTTATTTTATTCTTCAAGATAGCCAAGAGATGAACATTACTGTAGTCAGAAATTCAAGCGAAGCCTTCCAAGAGGGAAAAAAACCCTGTCTTTTTCAGACAAAAAGTGACTTAAAAAGACAATTCCCAGTTGCACAATGCAGAAGCAATAAAACACACTATACCTACAAACAGAAAGTTTTTGCAATTTTGGCACAGTCAGTCTTAAAAGCCTCAAATAAATTTTCCTTATTTACACTCAGTAGACTAGCTATAAAATGTATGTTTTATTACAACAATGTATTAGTCTTTTGAAAATAGGCAAACACAGGAATATTAGTATGCAACAATTCACAATAACATTTTAACACATTAATTCAAAAGATAAAATATATTAGCTCTGTATTCATGCTAAACTGTTGTCAGGTATTGTTCCTTGATCACTCTATTCAAAGAAAGTTCATTTTACTCCAGAAAAACAGCTCTACTAGTAATTCGAGAGATTGCTAGGAAGAATGATTATCCAAAGGAATAAAAAAGAGCCTAATTATGTATCACAGTGATCAATGTAAGGTAATATACGTGCATCTTCAATTGGGGAACTTGTGCTATATACTTACCTACTACACTAAAGTGATATGCCCCCAGAGAATTATTATTTTTCAGAAACTGAAAACTGACTGCTGTTCAGTTATCTAATCAATGAGAAAAATCTGTACAGTAGATATCAAAAGCCAAAATAAACCAATCCTAAGGCATTCCAACTACTAAATCATATGAATATTTTAGCTATGTACTCTTGTAGCACAATTTTCATTAAGCAGATCTATAAGAATACAGTCAAATATACAGTCATATAGACAGAATTTTGCCAGATTAAACCTATCCTAACCTAATAGATATACTCTGGAAAATTCTAGGGCAGCGGTTCTCAACCTGTGAGTCGCGACCTTTTTGGGGGTCGAATGACGCTTTCAAGGAGTCACCTAAGACCATAGGAAAACACATATTTCCGATGGTCTTAGGAATCGAGACATTAGTGAGAATTTCTGCTCAAGGCTAGCTCCGCCAGCCAGCTCAGGTAGACAGGAAAGCAGCCACCTCAGCAGCATGGCGGGGCTGCGCTACCCATCGCACAGCAGCTACTGCCGCGTTGCCACGGCTATGAACCTCCTGCTCTGCGTCTTTCAGGTCCTCTTGCCTGGCTTCCGTCTGGGAGAAGCGCAGGGCCAAGGTAAAAAAAAAAAAGCCTGGTGAAATACTCCCAAGGGGTAGCGTTGATCTGTAGCGGGAGGTGAAGGGGGTGGGCAGGCGGGAGGGGGGTCAACCAGAAGGGAAACAGGTCTGATAAGGGTGAAGGTTGAGTGAGATTTCCCCCCTTGCCCCTCTCTCCGCCTCCCTTTGTGCAGCGGCGTCTCTGGCTGCTGCCTTCCCAGTCGCCGAGAAAGGGAAAAAAAGAGCCATGACCAAGTTCCCCTTTCTGCCTCGTTGCTTAAAGCTTTTTTTTAAAACGACCACTCGTTCAGAACTCCTCGGGCTTGTTTGCATGAGCTTGTGGCAGATCAGTAAATAAAGGGGTGGGGGAGTCAAACCGTCCAAGGCGTTTGCACCCTGAACATGTGGACGCTGCTTTCATGACTTCCCGTCCTGCTCTGGCAACACGCTGCTGCTGCTG